GAGAAAAGTTTTCTCCGAGCCCAGTGTGTCTTCCTAGTCTTTCCTGGAGAGATGAATAAAAATCATTGAATTATCTTTTTTACAAGCCTCTATCAGATTATCTTTTGTTTAGTACAAATACACTTTGTTTGCTGGAAGTGCCAGAAGTTAAGTCTAAAAACTATTGTTAAAAGAAGATTAGGACTGCAAAGTCAACCATGTTAATATCGGGAAATGTTAATATTGCATGTGCAAACTGGATTCAGACCACTTATGGATACATGGTAGAGGTGGGATTAATCTCACTTACTTTTGCCAATCTAAAGTTAGACACTGAGTCTCAAATAGTCAGATGACACCATATCTGTATCAATACACAGAGATAAAGCACTTCAAAATGTGATTCCTCTGAACCTCGGATAGGTATCTAAAACAAGCAAGGCATACCTCCTTCTGAACATGCTCATCTCTGCACTAATCAGAGTTTTAAGTGCCTCACTTGAAAGATGAACCCCACCATAAGAAACGGCATGTTATTTTTACCACAGGGTCAGTGCCTCACTCAATGCTTACTAATTCATTCTCTCTTCGATATCTTCTCCTTCTGTCCTTTCCCTGTAATGTATAGGCCTCTACTTTATTTTACTGCATGCTGTTGAATATGGCACAAGTCACAGAATTACTCATTTTCAGAGGGACTTTTTAAGGTGCTCTGATATAGCATTTATTAGTTCTTTACTAACACTGATCAATTTTCCTTTAAAGATCTGTCATGAAAAGAGGCAATATCATTATGACCACTTTACAAAGGAGGAGTGCAAGAGGAGAGATTAGAGCTGTGTCAGAAGTTTCCCTGCTCTTTGGGTATGTGTAGACTGATTTTTCAGTGTTTACAGCATTATACAGCGTGATGATGGAGACTGAGCCACAGAGCAGTGACCTCAGTTGCAGCTGTGGGAGTCTACTAACTTCTGCAAATCAGACCCACAAACTCTGGGTTTGTCACTATTAAAAATGAAAATTTTTTTTTCCGCATAACACTGTCAGTAGTAGCCCTATGCTGGGACACATGCCACTTTGAAGTGACTGGAATAATGCCACTCAAGAGTTCATACTGTCTAAGGTGTTATTCTTCTGATTTAGCTGCAAGAACATTGTTTCTGTCACTGCAGTCCCATAGTAATCCAGGTTCTGCAATGTTGGTTCTGCCACTAAAGCAACTGAAACTTAGCAGACAGCAGTCTCCTCCCTTGCACAATCATGACAAATTCCCACAGCACAGACCATTCCTTGCTCTAAATAAAGCAGGGAGTCCCGAGGGGAAAAAATAGGAATTTGCAATTATGTCATTAAAAGAGCTTATGGTATTAGTCAGAAAGAGACTGGAGTAAAGTTTCACAAGCAAATTTAATTTACTTGTTCACTCTTGATTTTGTAAATATAAGTTTATTCTAACACTCTAAAATATTGTATACATTGTTTTAGAAAAGTCAGCAATTGGAAGAGGAGAGTTTTCTCTGAGTGAGAGCTCTACCTATGTCATCAGCAAGGCTAAACTTTTTTTGGCAAATCTCCACCAGCCTAACTGGTAGCAATACTCTCTGTCAACTCCCAGATACTAAAGGGAGATGGATGCACCCTCTTTGCTGGTGGATTTCAGAGCCAGTGAACCCATGCTTCTGCTTCTGGTTTCAATTCCAGAAGCTTGAGGAAGTGATGACAAATCTTCCTCTCCTTTGCTGTTATTGTTTGTTTGGTGTGGGGTTTTTTTTGTCCTTTATCTTTCTCTTGTCTTCTGTCCATTTCCATCTCTTCTCCTCCAGCCCAGTCCAGTTACCCTCACTTCTGAAGCCTGTGCCTTTCCTCCTCCCGGAGAGAGCTCCTGCTTTTGCACCTAACTTCAGCTTGTGATCCCTCACTTCTCCTGCCCCTGCCTACCTCCTGTACCTTCACAGCCTCCACCTTTACGTGCAGCTTAATTAAATCATATGTAGGTTCTTACTCTGTCCTCAGTGAGACACGAGTGTCAAGCAAACATAATGAGTTTTCATTGCAAGAGGCTAGTATTAACATTTAAGGTCTCTCTGGGGACAGGTCTCAGTGCAAGGGAATGTTTGGTTATATTGAGCTTTAGTTCAAGGCTGTTGAGTTTTTTCATTGCATAGATGTTAAAGATGTTTCATGTTAAAGACCTGCTGAAGAACTGCATCTTGTGTTCAGAGCGCAATGAAATGAGGTCTGTGAGGTATCAGATCCCATGGGAGTCCCCTTTGCAGCCTAGTATTTGCCTTTGTGGTGGAAAATAACACTATCTTGAAAACCAAGGTTCTTGACTGTGATCTTCATTGCAGAGGACTACGTGTTATTTTTGGATAGCTAAGCAGGTAGAGAGACCTGTAAGGCTAAAAGGATAGCCAGTAAATACAGCGTTGTCTTCCAGGTGAGCCAGGCTGTTGGCATTGTGCCCTCTAATTCAAAATAAGTTGAATTGAAGCCATTGTGTACCTTGAAGATGAGGTCAATGACCTTGAAGCTGACTTTTAAAAAAAAACAGAGCTGAGAACAGAGACTCTCTGCTGCGCTCTCAGTAGCCTGAGATTCAGGCTACTTCATGAGCTGTTGAGCAGGCCTTTGCCTTATAATGGTAAGCTGGACATTACATAGTAATTAGCTTGATTAAGAGGCTGCTTCTGCCACCCTCTTGCTTTTCTCTATCTATCTCCCTTTTTGCTCTTGTCTCTAACCACCCATGGCTACTCCTTTTTTTACACACTTTCTGTCAGTTTTTTCCACTGTCCAACATTCTGCACTGTTCTTACTGGGTTCAGCTGAGGCCATTCCTCACCCTCTCTGCTCTCTTCACAGAAGCAGTGGGAGAATTGAGACCAGAGCAGGCAATCTTCTTCCTCTTCTCCTTCCAGAAACCGCTGCATGTGCTGCTAGCAAGGACAGCCGCATCCCATGCTTGCAGCCCCGGCGTGCACCACACTGTCACATGTACCGATGGGGCATTTATAGTAGCCAGAGGTAGAAGCTGTTAGGACTTACAGGGTGTTCAAGGGGGAGGAACTCTTTTGATATTTAATTGCAGTTGATACTTCATTTCAAATACATACCAAATGACACTGTAGATAGCAAATGTGCAAATACAGTTTTTGAAGGTATATAGCTTTAGTGAATTTTAACAAGAATAGACAAAAAGTACATCTCTGGCACTAATGTTTCCATTCACTAACGCAAACAAGTTACCATGGAATATCCAGTTACCATGTACCACTCCATCCATGGCAAATACTGCTGAAACATTTTAACAAAAACCTACTGAAGGCTGAAGGTTTCACATGGAAAACATCAATCCAAAGAGCCTAATTTCTGCAAATTTTAGTTAGCTTGCAACATAGAAAGGTGAGCTGTATTTACTAGATAGGTTGTCACCTCCATAATCACTAGTACCCAGGGGTTTAGTTGGTTTGTCCTGTTTGGGTTTTACTTTTTTCCCTTATTTTACAATTTATTCCTCAGTAACCAAAGTGGGGAAAAATATGTGGCATTTTAGTCAAAACTAATAGGTAGAAAACTTTTTTATGTATAAACAACTTTTCTTCTTGTTTGGCCTGCTTTGCAAATCCTTTGAACATCCATCTCTGTAGGTATATATGTGTTGATATGTGCATATATATAAATATGAGTTTTTATTATGATTTTAGCCTGGCTTTCTAAGGAACCAGTGATTAAATTATCATCATCTCTGTCTTCCTGTCTGTCTGCCTTTCTGTCAGTCCCCGTTTGGTGAATTTGAGCCAAACAAAACTAGGTTTAACCCTCTGCTGGAAAACTCAAAGATAATTAAATTCCTACAAGTTTCATGAAAACCGTTGAATGGGAGAGGAAAGAGATACAAATTTCTACCCTTACTGTGCTGAAGTATAAGCTCAACAGTTGTTTTTATCTTGATGGATGATCAGTCAGCACACACACAGTGTGGAGCCAACCCCAACACATGCTGCCTCTTCTCCAGCCAGACAGATAGGAGAGAGTGAGATGTTGTGGGTCATGCCCTAGCAGTCTTGGGGGTGGAGACATGGAACTGTTGCAGAGAGAGATGTGGGAACAGATTGCGCACGTCTGTAGGAAACCATGTTTCATTGTTTCTGCTGTCCAAGGAACAACATCTACCATCTGTTTGGAGGGAAGCTAGGGTAATTATAGAAGGGTACAGGGAGGGCTAAAGGGCAAAGGTCTTAAATCTGTAGGAAATTATTCTACATTAGTTCTGCTGCTCATGGCATGACACAGTAGCTTCCAGTCTTCATTAGTCCCATCCTGGAAATAATCACAAACAATGACTTTTGTCTATTCAACGAATGTTTGAATTGTGTCGTTCGGTTCTTAGTTAAGGAAAGACTTTGTGAATAGAGGGAGACGGACATAACACCTACAGTTTAGTGGAAGATTTAGAACGGGAACCTACAGCAGAGGAGGTAGGAAGGGAGAGCTCCAGCAAACAATCATAGCCAAGGACTGGAGTTCTCAGTGAAATTAAAAGGTGGGGAGGATTAGGGAATGACATCCCAAGAGAAGGAAGGATTTATCCTTATCTTACTACTCATAAGCCTTTTATGCAGCTATTCATCTTCAGTTGACGGTAGACGGAATAAAATTTACCACTTCCCCTTTTCCCGAAAGCAAAAACTTATGGCAAGCCCAAAATACATAGGATAGTTTTAAGTAGTTATAAAAATGCTCACTGGAAATAATATGGTTGAACTTAACACAACTAGAGGTGATACGGGGACTTTCAGGCAGTCTTTGGATATGTTAGACTGAAGCTTCCTGAAAACACACAGATTCATGAAATGTTTAGATTTCACTGCATTTAATTCTAAATGTTACAAGATTATATATTCGTACAAAAAATAAATATGGTCTACAAATCATTTCTTTGACATGTTTGCAATCTTAATGACCATAAACGTCTATCATCACTTAAGAATTAGGTATTTGAGTGCACAGAGCTCATCTATTTTCAAAGACAGTCTGGCTTGATATATAGGATTTCTAAAAGTAATTCATTTAAGGTGACCTCTCCTAAGATGGACCTGAAGAAGAGTTCTTCAATAGCATCTGCATCAATGTCTTGGAGAGAGTTGAGTAGCTGAAGAATCCAAGCAAACCTGCCTAGGTGTCTGTTGAACATCATTGAGATAAACTCCATCAAAGCTTGCCGAGCTTCCTGCTGCAGTGTTTGTACATAGGGAAGACATTTTAGGACATGCTGTCCTGTCAAAACAAAAAGTAAAATAAGGAATCTTGAGTAAACATGTCTGTTCTGTGTCCTTCATAATGATGGATATCTGGCTGTCTAACTTACAGTACTTCTTTTCTCTAGAAAACAACAAAAGCTTACTAAATGTACTTTTTGGGAAAAGAAGATATGCTTAGTTCAATAATTAGAATAAACACTGAGCAACACTGTAAACACATTGGAATTTAGCCCCTTACATTAAATACAGAGTTCTGAAGTTGTGTCAGGAGGTAACTTTGGCACAGTACAGGTGGAAAAGAAGCTTTAAAAGGTTGTCTATCCACCAAATGATGCTGAGACAGAAGTGTGGGTAGATGGAAACATTCCAGCTTTGATCTAACTAGCATAGGTATGTGTCATTAGCAAGATGGAAGTGGTGGTTTGAACTGTGATGCAGGTTGGCAACGCAAAGACATAGATTTCTGGTCTATCCCTCCCCAATTTCCTCCTGTTGTTGTCTGCTCTACCTAGACTAAGCTGAGGCATTATGGTTGATCATGCTACCTGGATGCCTTCATTTGCAGTCTGAACAAAGCATAAAGACACTTTGTGAGATGTATGATGGATTCACAAAGGCAGGAAAGGTAATTATACTCTCAGTTTTTGTCCTCTTTCTTCAGCCATTTGTGAAGAGGGAGAGGTCTGTAGCATTGCTCAGAGATCCCTGCAGTCTCTCTGCAATTTTCTGCAGCAGCTCTCAGAGTACTTCTAGCCCACCTCCAGCCCCTGTCCATCCATGTCCCTACGCTTAAAAGGAAGTTGCTGAAAGGCAGCATCATAGCTCTGTTTGGTACTGCTGGAATTAGAGGAATACACACACAGTCAGATGCACAAGTTTTTTAGTACCTCTTCGTTCTGTTCTCTAGCTATATACGCTCTGAAGGGATCCGAGAAAGAGGAAATATCTGAGCCATGCTTCTGTTCAGTGGATTCACTTGGCCCTAGGCCTGTCTTTAATTATTCTATTGGTTCCTAACTGAGCAAAGTCTTAAACATGTTTTCTGTTCATTCAGTCTTATCTAGTTGTTTTGCTAGCTACATCAAAAGCAACTCCAGTGTAAGAACACAGTAAGTAAGAAGAGAAACTACCTTTAAATACACAGACATAACATTTGGTGCTATCACTAAATTTAGTCATTTAAAGCACTAATTATAATTAACTCCCTTAAATAAGACACTGACATTTGGCCTATGCTAAAACTATTTAGGCTGTTATACATACAAGTCCAGTTACCTTTGACAAGGAAAAAAGTTAGGATAAAATTGCTGTGTTATAAAACAAAATGCAAAACAACTATTTTAACCGTTTGTATAGATCATTATATGTTTAATGAATTAAATTAGTGTACTTTGCATAGGATATTGGTGTTTGTTCTGACAGACTCAAGACCCAACACCCCCCCCCGCCTTTTAGCCCAATCTATGCATTGTGCTGATGCATGGACTTAACTTTAAACATTCACTGAATGAAAATTAATTGAATCAGAGTGTTTACTGCCTTACAGAGTCACAGTCTTGAGTCACAGTCATATACCTCACACGGCACATGACTCCAAAACTGCTGGGCTATCAAGGCTATTGGTGAATTTCAGGATTGATTTCAAAGGACATCCCATGTTTATTCTTTGCTTCTGGTGGGATTCCCTAGTCACATAGCTCTTTGCAGCCTACTGCCTCCTGTGCATGTCTGCCTGAGTGAGAACACTGATGTGCTACACTATCTTTTCTTTCCTACAATTGCTACAGCCTGTAATGATGTAGCATGAATCTGCCAATTTTGACTTCTGCCTCTCTTGCCTCTCACCTCCTATTTCAACCTTTCTCCACCTGCTTTTCCTAGCACATACTGCAGGCCCATTTAGTGTCTTTTACAGGGACTGGCTTCACATCTCCCTGGGATGGGGTCTCAATGGACTGAGGAGTGTTTCACACAGGATCATTCATCTAAGTATGGGAGGTTCTACCTTGTTGCCTAGTGCCCTGCACTAGGGCAAAACCAAACTGCTTGGGGTTTTTTTCAGCCTGTAGCTGGCTACACTTTCTGGCAGCTGTCAGTTTCTGGAAGCTCTTTTCTCTCTAGACACCACTGACAGAGGAGAAGAAGCCTCAGCAAAGTCTGAAACCAGGCTAGCCAGAAAAGAAGGATCTGGAAAAGTCATCTTCTCCGCCAAGATTACTACTAGCTGCAAGCTGTGACAGTGGTTCCAAGTGTTAGATTATTACGGAAAGGAAGCCGTCAAGATCTTGTATGTTCAGGATGAAATTGCAATTGCTTATACCCCTTCAAATGTGCTTAATTTTTCCATTTGGTTGCCTTTTACATGCAATCAACCATGCTTTTAACTCATAAGTAGTAAGAAATCTCCTGTGCTACGATCTGTTGCACTACTATTCAATCTAATATAAGTGTTCGCAGCTGAGCTTTAAACTTCTGAAGAGCATCATTTATAACAGAAGTCCTGTCACAGCTCTGATGGAGTTCTAGATGGCACTGATGTAATAACAACCGCTATTTTCACTACTACTGTCTCTTCACTTGAATTACTCTTCACTCTTCACTGGAATTACTACTGTAATTCCAGTAGTTTTTTAGACACCTGTTGTCAAAAACAACAGGAGCTGTTTCACCTCATTCTTTGTGCTATTCATGCATGGTGGAATAGTCCTGCTTACCTCGTCCTTTTACTTGTTACCTGAATCCTAGAGAAAGCCTTGCAGTTGGGCCCTTCACCAACGCACACTTAACTTCTCGAAGGTGATCCTATCTGAGGCATCCCTGGGAAGAACAGGCATGGTACTTTATCCTGGAATTTATTGGAGATTTTAGATTCAGTGCAAGGCTGCCTATTTTCTCTGAAGGGTTGGGCACACTTGCTTGTTCACAGATCCTTACTGGCCCAGACGGACTGTGATCAGTCAGTATGCCTGCCAGTCTCCTGCAGAGAAGTACTGCTCATTACAGTCTTCCAAGGCTCTGAATCACAGTTACTATACTTCAGAAAAAAAGAAGGTAGGATGGGATTATCCTTAAAACCTAGTGTTTGTGCTCTCTAATCCTCTGAGAAAATTGTGCTGTATGTAGCATGAAGACTTATACCCCATGGTGCCTGCCTGCCTACCTACTGTTCTGTCTCCAGAGGGATTTCTTAAGAGTTTGCTTATGGCAGGAACAAAGACCTGCCATGCTTGTTTATCATGCTTCATGCCAAATCACTTGCCTAGCTGTGCTTCTGCAGCTGCACTTCTGGATGCTTTTGGTGGTCCTGACTGATAGGATTTAAAACATTCAGATATGAGCTCATGCAAGCTATTCCATGATCGAAAGAAGATTAAGCATTATCGCTGCCAGAGATTGCCTGAAATTCGCTTAGACCAAGGCTTGCAAAATATTAAGATTTGGCCAAACATCAAGACAGAATTAAGAGGCCAGCTGAAAATGTGTCTGCATATATATAGGAAACATTTTCTAAGTCTGGTGGAAAGTGTTTAAAAACTACTAAAAATAATCTATGGGCTGATAGTTGTACAAATTAATCTGCAGCGAAACTGGTACAGAAAGGGAGATTTGGGCTTTGTATAAGCCCTCAGTATCTGTTTCAGTCCAGAGTTTAGACTGTGACTTTTTGTTTCATGTAGAATCAAGCCAGGCTTAACTGAAGTCAGCCCAGCCTCCTTTTGGAGACAGTGGAGAGAGAGAGTCTTCCCACCTAAGAGGTAGGGAGTCGTCTTGAAGCTCTCGGCTTTTGCATAGGCAGCATGGAGGACTGCTCAGCCTCTCATGCAGTAGCCCAGGGAAGCAGCAGTAGTTGGGAGGCATGAAATCTAGAACATAAAACTGTCCTGCTGCTGCTTTCACCTTGATAAAGTGACAATCACATTTAATCCATGGAGATAGGAAAAATGCTTGTTAGTTAAACTGTATAAGCCACTGCAGATGAGGGATTTATCTTCTCATCACACTGGATAAAACAGGTGGTTCCTTTCAGCCTGATTTTATTGTGAAAAACTGAGAAAATAAATTGCACTGAAGCAAATTCCACTGGTTTGATGCTATAGCATAGACACACAAGAAAATACAAAATGTCTGAATAACATTGCATATTAAGAATCAGAATTTGAATCCTATTGGAAACAAATATAAAGCCACTACAGCCTTTGAGAAGCTTGTAAACCATTCACCACAAGAAATATCATGGAAGAGCTGAAGCATTCAAATATCCCTTTGGTGTAGTCCCAACTGTAGCACACTGCTGACTGTGGCCAACTGCAATAATCGCTGTGGAAGGAGTCAGGGATCTGAGCCAGGGGACTGGAGTCAGTAAGTCCTTCCACTTACTTCAGTGGACTTGGAGCTCGGCTTTTCATGACTCATTCACTCTGTGGTGCTGACCTAGGCAACCTTCCTTCCTACAAGGCTAAACTTGGCATGAGAAGTGAAAGGATGTAATCACTTGTCTGAGTCTGTTTCCTGACTGCTGTCCCAGGCTTTGAATGTAAAGATACTAAAAGGATACATCAAAACAGCAATAAAAGAAACGAAAAGCATTGTAACCTCAGCACAGTATACTTATGCATCATTAATGATAATCAGATGGTATAGATTATGTTACCTTCTTCAGTGTTCTCTCTACAGAGGATGTCTTGTTAAAATAGTTCTAATATTCACATCACATATCCATACACCATCTTGCCTTTGCTATAGTACAGATGAAGCAGCTGTATTACCCTTTAACTGAAAGTCAGTTTGAAGTGACCCAGTTAATTCCTTATGACTTAAAATCTGTCTACCAGAATCTGTTTTGGCTTACAAGGGATAACCTATTACACACATTTAAGCAACTTAAGTAAACTGCTTCAGGAAGACAGTGATTAAATTGTGGAATATAAATTTTTAAAATATTTAGCAACATTCACAGAAATAAGTAAAAATGAACACTTGTCTCTGCAAAATGCCAGATGTCCTTTTAGACACATATTCAGCTGTGAACTTTCCAGGAAAACTTACCAGAATTAAAAAGAATAATTCCTTTAAGGTAGGCATATTCTTTTGCACTTATGTCCAGGTTCCATAATTTCCACAATAAATTCTTCATCTTCTGCACTTCTGCTAAAGATGCTCCAAGTGAGGAGCTGCCTAGTTCATCACTAGCCATAGAAGATTGATTGAGAAGAATTTTTTTCAACAAACTAGGGGCTGAAATCTCTCTCAGCTCAAAATCCACCCCTTCTTGTGCCAGGCCCAGGACAAAAAGAGGGGCCCAGTTCTGCTGTATGAGAGTAACTTGATCCTCCCAGGGCATGTGATAAAAAGAAGGCAAGTTTCTGATAAAAGCTGATGTCTTCAAGAGCACTTCAGAAGCTCTTCTGCACGTGACTTCTGGCATTTTCAGGACAACTCTTCTGCTGTCTACACAAGAGCAGCCGTTGCTTCCTATGGAGCAGTGGAGTCGGTAATATTGCTGGTGCCACTTGGTCTCATTTCGATGCTCTTTGTTAAGGATCTCGTACAGGATGCTCTTAGCATGGTGTGTCTCACACTGACATTTCTCAGATTTCTCAGGTGCCTGACTAGCCATAGAGCCAAATGTTTTCTGTGGGATGACCCTACTGTGGCAGGAAACAGCATACACAGAACTATGCTCCGATAGCAGAGGAGAGAGCTTCTGTCAAACAATGAGGCATTGTGAGCTTTTTATATACACCGTCAGTTGAACAGTAATGTGACTCTGATCTGTAAAGTTACCTTGAACTTTATTTGCTCCAGTCTGTTTCCACCCGTGGCCAAACAAGGCGGGGCTGCGCCGCTGCCAGCATCTCGCAGGCCTGCCACGTCCATCCCCGGGGAGAGCACGAGGCTCGCCGCCCGCCGGCAGCACAGGCGTTGCTCCCTGCCCTGCCCTCGTGCAAATTAGCTGTGGCTAGCTTCATGCCGTGATGCCAGTGACTCTACAGCGCTGCCGGTAGCAATGCTATTTTTGCAATGGCCAGCTATATAACACATACAGCCTGCCCTTGAGGGGAAGCCAATGGATGTGATAAGTGAAGAAGCAACAAGCTATGTGTATTTTACTGATACACTGACCTTGTCCGCTAGCTAATGTTCCGGAGTGTTCAGAAATGCATTTGTACTTACCAAGATTGCCGTGGCAGCATTCTGGAGTGCTCTCAAAGCAGATGCTTTTATTTTTGTTAAAAGAAGCCACCTGAAGATGCTGTGGATGTGTACAATCACTTGTCACAGAGCACTCAACACTGTTTGCACTTCACACCACAGCTAACATAGGATGAGGTACTTCTGTCAAGGAGCTCCTAGATGAAAGCCTCAGGGATGTAAATCACATGTATATGAATGATTTTATTTTTCTGGTAGATTTTTAAGAAACTTCAGAGAAAGTTGGATGCTATGGTTCTTGGCAATATTGTCTCCTGCCTTTCAGATACAATAATTTCAAACACAGAACATGCAGACTTCTCCCACGCTTGCTGCGTAATTAAGTATTCTTCATACAAGCTCTGGAAATAAAACTGTCGAAGGAGAGATTTTGTTTCTTGCTAGGAAAAGGGCTACTATTGTAACAGAGCAAGAGCTGAACGCTCGAATTGTCAGGACTACTTAGTCTACATTATGGAACGTTATGTAGCAGGAATTTTTTTTTAAACAAGAAATTGGTGTTTTGGGTTTTTGTTACCTCGGGCTTCCTGGACTGCTTTTATATAGGATAAGAGGTACTCAGGTTTTTCACTAAGCATTAAGTTTACAGTTTCCCATCATCTGGGTTCTTAGTGTGTCTTAAAGGAAAATGAACATTAAAAACAACAGCTTCAAGAGCTACATCTCTTTGATCTCCAGTCCTTAGGTCTTTAACGGCCATCGCGTCATATACATAGCTGCAAATTTGGCATTTGCCAGAACTGTTTATTTTTTCCACACTGGTCAATTTAAAATTTCCTGTTTATTTACATTCCCCGGATATTTGTATTGCAAAATTTCCCCTTCTGAGAAGAAAAAAAAAGTGAAGGGAGAGAAGACTGCTCCAAAGTTGAGAAATCTAGAAGCCTAGTTCTGCTAGCTGCAACTATCACTAACTTCATTGGAGGTCTGAGGGGGCTGAGGGTACTGGACATCTGACAGGATTTGCTTGTCCATCTCTCCCTCTGTTTGATAGCTCTCTACTGTTGCTTATTGCTGTGGTATCCAGAAGCTTTTCAGATAAATGGCACAGCAACAGAGAAGTCCCCAGAATGTTCCATTCTTCTTATTCTCCCTATAAAATTTTGGCTGGGCTGAGGTTCAGTTCAATGCATTTTAGTTGCAGGGCTGATGTGATCTGAGGCTGTGCATGAATGAAGTAGATTGGCTAATGACAGTACTAGAAAGAGAGAGTAAGCTTGCTAAAATCATTCTTACACAGAGTTTTTTTGTAAAAGGAAGTTCTGTCTCCTGATTGCTAGTCAATATAGTGTTGTTTTAGTAATCGAGGAAGGAGAGTAAGCTCTGATAGCTTACACCCAACTCCTTCTGTAACTCCAAAGGAAAGATTGCTTTGATTTCATCTGAAATCAGCATCACTTCACAGTTCACCATCATTTCATAATTGGTACATCATTTCACAGTTCCTACTAATTCCGCTTATTAAAGTTCTACCTCAGATTAAATTAACTCCTTTCCTACTTTTTTTTTTAATATCTGCATTAGTCGTAAGAAGAGAGTCCTCAGGGCAGTAACATATGGCATTCGAAATCATTCCTATTCATCAGAATTGATTTCCTTTCATGGTACGTAACGCTGAGATGCAGAGGCAAATGATATTTTTATAACAGGAATTCTCAGTACATTTTAATTGCTTTATGATTGTTTACCAAAAATACAGAACAAAGGTTACTGCCTCAGTAAAATTGGTAAAGATGCATCATCAGCTTTTTCTAATGAAAAGGATTACTTAAAATTTTAAATCAATATTAAATTGTAGCTGAAACAGAGTCTAGTAATCCTAATTTTCAAAATTGTTTAAATTAAGGCCTCTGTGTGATCTGATTTTCTCACATGTGGAGGACCCAGCAGCTAAATTTAGCTTATTGCTTGCAAATTAGGCAATAGTTATTTTCTCTTTCTAAATCTTGCCTATAGATTAGTCTAGACAACATCTGCACATAGTTATTAACATGTACAATCTTCCTGTTACGATAATTTAACAAAAGTGTACAAGACAAAAAACAGTTTTGTAATATCTGAAACCCTGATGTACTGTCTCCCATTGTAGCTATTTGTAGCATGATAGATTGGGCATAGTAAGACATGGTCACATCACTGATATTTTTTCTGTTTTTCATTTATATACTTTATCAGCCAACGCACAAATACTCTCTTCCACCACTTTTCCTGTGCAATCATCAGAATTGCCACTCAGGCACATGTATGCCATTCAGACCATTAAAAATATACCTTAAATCCACATACAAAAGTGCTACAGACAGGTTGTGGATATTCACACCATTGTTGGGATGTCATGCTCCAAGTAAGGCTGTCATTTCCACCTTTCCTAGGAGTGATACCATTTTGTACATCTATATATTACTGTTAAAGAGGTAAGTTTAACAGAGGTCATCTCCGCTATTTAAGTGTTTCATACAACACAAACTTTCTGCTGAAATCCCTGGATTTCCCAGGTTTGCAAAAACTGCCTGATAGGTGTAAATGGTCCCAGAGCTGTTACATTCCCCACGGTGAGCAGGCTTCTGCTCTCTCTGACCAGTGTGGAATAGCAGTGTCAGCACAGTCAAGTCAGCAGGAGCTGAGGGATATTCACTACCATTAAAAATCCACTGATTTTTTCAGATTCTTAAATATGCTGTTGGGTCTAAAAGTATAAGGGCATGTAGTATTTTCAGCCCTTGGCCAATAGCCTTAATTTTCCTAACAGAGCGTTTGGAAGGCTGAAGAGACTTGTCAAATAACAATATAGGAGCATAAGTGGACACTTTATCCAGAATTCCTATAAGGTGAGATTGGAGACAGACACATCTCTAGAGGATAAAATCTTCCACAATTATTTTATATAGGCTACAAGAAGGAAACACCCTTCTAGGTAGCTGACGGTGGTCTTTTAAGATCACCCTGTCACACCGCTCTGATACATGCAAAAGTTCTTTGATTCTGTGATCTCTTATCTCTCATAGAGACATTTAATCGTCCTATAAACATCTGTCTAACTTCAGAACAGAATTTTCTACAGAAGGTTTATACATTTTGTTTCCTGGGAGGAGTTGGGTCACTGGTACTTTCCGGGTAACCTAACTTCACTAATAGCCTTAATGATGATGAAAAGAGCCAGCAATAAAAACAATAAAGTGTTTGAAGGTTTCCATCTGCTGCTTATTCCATGGCACATATCATCTTTCATGAGCAATAAAGGTGGCTAAGTATTCATTTCTCAACTAGAAGGACCAAGAGCTCCATTTCAGACCACCCTCTTTGGCTAGGCATGTAGAGGGAAGCATCATCCATGAGTTAAAACCTGCTCAGCTTCCAGGTCCAAAACTGAGGCACTGACTAAACTGAGACAAGCTATGAAACAAGATCTTCAGCTTATGCTCAGACAGGTAAGCATAGCAAGCCAGTATCTGGCCCTTACCTCTGAAACAGGAATATATAAGTTATAGATCCAGTTAACTTCAGCATTTGTTTAGCTTATATTGAAAGTCAGTGGATCTTCTCAAGTAATTTAAGTTAAGCACACGCTTAAAATACTTTGCTAGATTAGGTCTCGAATAATCAATGTTTTCTTGAATGCAGCCAATAGAGAACAAGTATTAAATTAATAGAGAGGTGGATGCTGCAGGAGGCCCCGTATTGAAACATAAAGTATCACTGGCACCAGACCTGTTTTATGGTTGCCTCTGATGCCTGAGTTGAAGAATATGCAAATGCATCTGAACTTCTGACCAAAACCTTGTAGTGAAATAGGAGTTCTGAGAGTCCCCTTTCCCAAAAGCCTACCCTAAACCTTGCAGTGAAGTAGGAGCTCTAAGGGTCTCCCTTCCCAAAAGCCCACCCTAGGCATTTGCATTTTACTCATATTCTGCTCTCCTTGATTTCCAAACATACTAGAGTAGCATGTAACATGTCTTTTTGGCAGATGCTGATCATTGGCTGAAGAAAGCAGAGTGTTTGTCATCATTTTTAGAATGGAGACATTTTATTATAAACTTTATGCTGCCTCACTGTACTCCAGCTGTTTTAAACATGAGCACAAACATGTACCATTTGGTGCTGTATCCAAATCCAAGACTAGAATATTAGTAGAGGAGGTGAAGGATCAGCTCGGTGATGCTCCTCTCACAGAACACCAGGTGCCACAGGAAAATTGTTCTCAACTTTTCAGTCTCTTATGAATCTAAAGTAACAATGGATTTCTGTGTATGCAAATACATTTAAAAAAAAAAAAAACAAAGGGCTTTCTTGGTTGTTTAAAACAAACAAAATCTCCTAGCTGGATAGAAAAAATCAGCTGGTTAGACCAATGCCATTGATAGTCTTTCCGTGGGGAGCTGCCTGGTGAGATGTTGAACAGTTTTATCTTGCCTCTCACCAACATAGCGTCTGAGTCTTCCTCATGTAAAAAACCTAGCAATCATTATGGTTCTGGCACTTTGCAGTCACAGCAGAGCTGCATGTGCCATAGGGGACTTGCTGCTGCTTGGCCATTTCTCCCTTGTTTAAAGATAAGGTTTTGTTTTAAGCAGTTTATAGAAAGGGGCGTGAGCTTGGACATTGGAGTAGATTTCAAGCTGCCCAACACAAATCTTTGATTTTTTCACACTAGAAAAATTGGTGAC